GGCTACATGTGCACGGGTTTATTTCAGGCGTAAGGCTCATTTTCTTTGCAATTTTAAATACATATATCAATATTCTCTGACACGAAGATACAGTAGATTTGCGCAGGAGTGTTTGGTTTATGAGAAACAAAACATTTTACGAGGTCCATATTGAGCCAAAAGCAATAAGGAAGGACAGACGTATTTTCTTCCTAAGATTCTCAGCGTGCACTGCACACGGACAAACTAAGTGTATTTGTGTACTAAAGGAGGCCACATAAGCTCAACTCCACTCTGAAAGATTAAATCAGATGCTCAATAATCCTTATCACTCCGAGGTGATGAATACGTTGTTATGAGGTCCCTTTATGAGCTTTCCCTGGGGGACACTCAACCCATATCACTGCCTGGCCCTTCGGAGCTCTTTTCAAGTTTCATCCCAGCTGAAATGATCGGTCTCGTGTGACTGAGTTAATAATCACTGTGGGTATATAACGGTGCATCAAGAGTGTGCATAACTTAAGATATTGATCTAACATGAAAATGAATGAGGAAAAGACACAGTTTGGTGTCCATAACCCATATTGTTCGTGTTGTTAACGCACCAGTGTGCTCATGTTTATTGTTGGTTTTATGAGCTGCAGGTGTGGTGGAAACAAGATAAAAAAACTCTTCAACTCAGCCAATATTATCTTTGAATAAAAGATCTTTATTATTAAGCATAACATGTGTTTTTTATGGCAAAACATTAAATCCACAAAATGAAAACAAAAATGTGCCAAGTCGAATAATACGCAGCATCCTTAAAAATAAATCCAGTCTTTTAGGCACAAAGCCTTTGTGGCTATTCTGGTTTTAAATTAATATATCAAGAGTTTATGTGTACATTTTTTACTCAAGTTAAAAAATATGTCTTCTGATCCATGAAACCTCTCCAAAAAAGACCAAAGCAGGAGTTGAGCGTACAGTTCCAGTTTTGTTCGCCCATTTTACGCACCGCCACAGCTGCTCTCTGACTGAAGCTTGGGTTCTCAAAATTACATTTATTATGTTGAATAGGGTTTAAATTATATTTGCTTCCTTGGAATATACTTTTCTAAAGGGAGTAAAAACTCTTAAATTGCGTACAGCACATTATCTGCATCAGTGTGCCTTTTTTTGGATCTGAAGTTTCACATGTAAACTTTCGTTTAATTGTTCACTTAACCATTTTAACAAAACTCCAATATTTGCATTTGTTAAGATATGGGATTAGACTATTTTGTTAATTGCACCATAGAGCCCCATTTTGCTCACAACGTTCTCTGCAAAGCGCCCTTTATCCATTCAATAGCCCGAGGGTATGCGCCCTGGGGGAGCTTATACGCTCGGTGCTCCAAATGCTCAATTTATTTATTCTTAATTTTGTGCCGATCAATTCATTGAAGCAAAAAGGACTACGGTGTCTTTTTAAAAAGAAGAAAAGGGAATTGTGGACGTAACCTTGACGGAGCTGAGGAGAGGGCTCCCCTGACGCTGGAGAGCCGCTTGAGTCAACAGGCGCCCATCTAGCAGACTCGCCCTTGTCTTTATTCTGGCTAATTTTTTATTTACGGCTTTCTTTGACATGTCTCTTATCTATCAGATTAAAAGAACAGCTTGTAACAAATCAGTCTGCACGATTTACAACAGCATTAAAAGGGGACAAAGGGAGCAGGCAGTCAGTACCTGAGAGTCTGGTAGACGGCGCGGCGCTGCAGCTGATTCGATGGTTTGAAAATACGCACGAAACAAAATACTTGAATCCTGAAAAAGAGCCTTTGTACGTTTCTTTAGAAATCAAGCAATTCTGCATGACAAAGGACAATTAATAAGCCGTCTTTTCACGACCAGCAGCTGGTTTCCCCGTCAAGGAAAGTTGGAAAAAATTCAGACTGAATGCGCGCAAAAGCCCCTTTGCGCGCAGACAGCAACCCAAGGTGACCCATTTGGCACAGTTAAAATAACCAAGCCGAGGTAAAAGCGAGGGAACTGTCAAAAACATTTAAGCTGAAATATCTTGAAATTGCAAATCCCTTTATGTGGAGGGACGCTGCCGATGTGGGTTAGTCGTACAAAGGAGGTGGTTAAGTTGGAGAGGCTTTGGAAACGGACACGTGGCTTCTCAATGAGAGCTCTTTTGGACCCGCGTGGCTTGCTATGGCACTGCACATTCAACTACTTTAAACTTATCTAGCTTAGTAAATGTGTTTAGTAAACCCAACATGTTAACTTACCAACTTTAACGAAACAGTTTATAAACTTTTTAACACTTTTGTACACTTTTAAAGAGCTTGTTTACCCACTTTTAAAGGACAAACACCTGCTGCTCCAGGCTTCAAACCTCGCTTGTAAATGCAGAGTAGTGAGTTATTGTTGGAAGAGGGGAGGCTTTTTCTCAAGGGGATGTCTTTTAAACAAGCATTTGTACGTTTAATGCACTCTTATGTAGATATTTTACTACTTTAAGGGGTTTGGAGATGTTTTGTATTTTGCGTACAGCTGTTTTCGCCAGTGAATTGGAAGGATATGAATATAGAAATGTGAGTTTTTTTGTGAATGAATTTACATTTTACAACTGTTTTACTTTTGCAATAACCTCGTGAATGTAGCTTAATAGGAATTCTGCTTATAGTGTGTTGTACAAACAGGTATTCTTTACAATATTTTGGTACATACATTTGGTTCATCCAAACTACTCGACCAACATAGATAGATTCGAAACAGTGTAATTTTCTCGATGTGTGTGTGTTTTTTTTAAAGGATTGCGGTTTAAGTGGGCAAAATGGAACAGCAACATGTTTAATTATGAAGCTGTTAGTGGGGACAAAGTGTGTACAGGCTGCTGAAGTGGATGGGGAAGGAAACAGCTCGGCACTGCCTTGAACTCCGACTGTTTTCAACTGCAACATTTGAACCCGTTCAGCTGTGTATAATCTGTTTAACAGCTAATCAGTAATGTAAGATGAAGGACTGGCACGCAGCTTCACTTCTCCTCACTTTCCCCCCCTCTCATTGAATATTCAACGTGCGCTCTGCTTGCCTTTTTTTTCAGCGTGCTTGAGAAAACGCCTTTTTAATTCTCGGTCCATACACAAGCAGTGTCAAAGGTCGACAAATAATGAACTGCGCAGACATGGAAGTGACCTCTGCAAGCGCAACCACTGCTCCAAAGTGAAGGCTGCTGAATGGGACTTTGGTCCAAATATTTGACGTGACATTTGGATACAATTACAGTGGACTCTTTTTACACTCATCGTTTAACTACTGTTCCCCTCATTCAGGCCACATGTGCACGTGCATATCAGACTCAGCCGAGACAACTGGGAACAAGAGGCCCACTGCGTCACCAAGGTAACCAAAACAAACAATTAAATGCATTTAACATACACTCATGACTCATATAAATGAAGGCAGTCATTTCCAAATAGGACTATCTCATTAAATATAGGTTTAGGTCTAGTTCTTCATTGCACCATGGCTTTACATTGGTATTAGTGATCTATTTGTAAGGCCCCCCTAAAAACAAACACTTGTAGTGCATCGTGACTCGTTAGTCCTTAATGCATGTGATCTACTGCGTTGTTTAACTGTATTTTATTTTGTTTATGGATTTGGCAAACATCAGACATGTGATTTGTGCAGTTTAACACTCTGTAGTGTGGCAGTGATGGCCTTTATTGTAGTTTGGCACTACCGAAATCAGGAAACTTTAAGTGGAAGTCATTTTGAAAAAGCACGAGAGACGCAAGTGCAAGTTCGTCGGTGAAGAGAAGCTACACGCACTAACACGCGCGCACAGCTCACGCGCACACGCACCTAGACGCGGAACGTATTGGGCATGGCTCACAAAGCGACAGTGTTTCCATCTGTAGATAACGACCGATAAACTCTCTCTTATTGATCACAGTATATTGGCAGTACTTGGAGCACCTAATGTACCCAAAGCACTCTCACTTTCTGCCTGTTTATCTGCAGTTTAGTGGCTCGCTCTGATGTGCAGTGTGGAGCAGGGGCGCCCTCTGGTGGCAACGGGGTGATAAACAACAACAATAGTTTGGAAATATTTACAACAAAAAGTTGTATTAGTTCAAATAACAATTTCACTTAAAAATACAGTGTGAATTGTAAACTATCGCTCATAAGAACAAACAAAACATTGCTCTTGGTCCCACCATGTTGGGGTAGTACAGAATCCCATCTGATTTCCAAAGGGCCCCATCACTCTCGGGGCCCCCTTTGAATACTTCTTATCCACACAACGGCGTAACAACCTCTTTTATATATATGTCCTCTGAGTGAGAGGCTTTCTGAAAGACTGTATTTAAAGTTTCTTTCTGAAAGACTGTATGAAAAGTGTCTTATTTCTCAGGAAACAGAAGGCATTTCCATCCAAAATCATGATGCAATGACAACATAATGACAGAACCTTTTAGTTATTAACCGTTGGACTAACAAACCAGACACTTTTTTGGCAAAACCTTGAATATGTATGCATTTTGGGACAATTTTCCCATATGTGATTGGTGAAATTCATCAAAGAGAAAGTGGAAAAAAGCGTAGCCCAATATCTAGAATCAGTACATAAGCTAATATTTATATTGAGGGAGATATAGGAGGAAGAAATGACAACTGTGCAGAGGAAAGTTAGTAACATGAGTTTTTTCTATTGTACAGTAAAGCTGGTTTCACAAAATCGTCAAGCTCATATTTAATGTGATTGTTCAAGAAGCTTCATAGTTCTCTTGTTTCCTATCTCTCAGTACTGTCATCTTTAATTTGGATTACCAGGTCCTTCAGAGAAGAAGTTTGTGTAATATAAGTTCTCAAATGAACCTCCGAGTAGTCCAAAGAAAACTGTTAAACATCTCCTCATCAAAGTGGAGACCTCAAGTGAAATTAAACAATATCAAATCTTTTTTTTAGATGTAAGGGTCTGTTAGAATTGTAACTCCTTGTATGTTTTGTAATGTAAGCCATGTTTTAGCAGAACCACAGACTCATGTGATTTCAGAACATTTTATTCTCTTTACTTTTGGTTGTAACAAAATTCATCAAGTGTCCTATGTACATCACTTCAAAGGCCGACAACAGGTAATTACGGCCAACTCTCAAAATTCTCACTTCAGTTCTTTTTCCTATGAATACAGACGCTTCGATCCATAATTTTCAGTATCAACAAGTATACAAAAGTTACAAAGCAAAAATAACAACAACTTGTATCTAATTTCTTAAACCTTTTCCTTATAAAACACCTTAATCATTCATCCAGTCCATCCAAACTAAAGTATAAAAACACTTTGTCTTCATTTACATCCACATCTTTAGAAAATACTCTGTAGCCTCCTTTAACATTCAGACTGTTATGGTCATGGGCCCCAAAGCTAAAAACAACAAATCCCGTGTTTTTTTAAATCAAAGAAAAGAGGCACAAACCTCGAGATACCGTCATCTGACTTGGACTCAAACACATGAAATACAGTCAGCGTGCACAAAGTCAAATCCAGTTTAATGTCAGCACAGCAGCATCAGCACAAAATCTTTACTACAATGCTGCTTGTCGTTGTTGTCAAAAAACAAACAACAAATAAAAATGGCCATAACATACAAAGCAATTTCTGAAAATAAAGACACACATGAATTAAAGCTCTTCCATGGGTAAATACTATCTAAATTGAGTTTGCGATATATACTGTATTTAGAGAAGTCCTTTTAAATATATATATTTCTTAAATCACATTCAGCTTACTGCGGAGCCAATATACAGTATAACGATATGAAGTTTACTTTATATCGTGTGTATGTTAATAAAGGAATAAATAAACACATTTTCATCTACATGTTTAAATTCATGGCTGTTAACCTTTCCTGCACACTTCCTGTATTCAAAGCCCTTAATGTGTGAGGGTAAATTCAGTTAGGACATATTATGTTTTGTCAGCAGGGTTAAGTAAAAACTATTCTCCCGATTTTCATGAAACTCTGTGAAAAGGAGTAGCATGGGTCAGCATTTTTGAGCGGATTCAAATGTGATAAATGTGGCTATGGTGAAGTTCTGCACCCCAAGTGCCCTTCCAGTTTAACAAACCTTTTTTGGGGAAAATAGTATAAAAAGTCAAATTTAAAATGACATCCAGACGAAGTCAACTTACTAGCTTCTTGCACAGATTTAAACCACATCTCATAGTCTTCTTAAGTGGATGGAGTTTTCTTGATGAGAGCTGAGAGACTATGATATATGGCTGAAACTTTCTGAAAAGCTAGCGAGCGCCTTAAGTCTTATGAGTTTATCTATATAACTGAATATCTTGGACACTAGGAAACTTCCTTTTTCCCTTTTTATGGCATTGTCTGATATTTTCTAGACTCGACAATTAATTGACTTGTCTGCATGGTAATAGGTGATTTAAAAAAAATGGCATTCCTAGATCTCATTCAAGCTTTCACATACATTATGGCTTCATTCACTCAAATACTTCAGCATCTCTTTTCACAAAGCCCTCAAGAAACGCCTGAATCATAGCAAACAAAATGCCTGTATTAACCTTAGGTTACCATATCATCCTCCTGAGTGTCCTCGTATATACTTTATGTATTTACACACAGCCAGTCTCACAGTCAGTGCTTTCCCCTCCAGTCACTCAATCTGTCTGTGGCTCCTGCTGTCGAATATCATGGACCTCCTCTGCGGCTGGTAGAAGCAGCTGGTTGACGTTTCCAGTCTCTGTCCACTTTTTGGAATAGTCATTTTGTTTTGAAGGGCGACCCCCTCCGGTGTCCTGAAATTCTCCGCCATCTCTTTAGAAAAGTCATTCACTGCCGACGTTTCATCCAGGCTCTTGATGGACGAGAGGAGCCTGCTGTCGTCTCCTGAGGGAGGATAGTCCATGATGGGAAAAGGAGGGCTGAGCAGGATGAGGCTCTGAGGTCTCTGCCTGTTCCTAAAGGACGGTCTCTGATGGATGTTCCCTCTGTTAGGTCTGGGACAGTCCACAAACACTTCCAAACTGGGCGGGTGTCTCCTCCTGATGACTGGCAGCTCTGGAGTAGATGTGGTCTTCGGAGACTCGGCAACAAGTGGGAGTTTTTGGTGTTTGGGTTCAGGCTTTTTATTCTCCAGCTCCTCCTTGAGATCGGACATCACCGGAGCAAGTGCCGCGTTGCTTTTCTCTACAGTCGTCTTAGGATCTTCCTTTTTTTGTTCCTTGGCTTCGTCAAAGTCCTTCTCATGTCTGGAGGGAGGTATCTGACTGTACTGCACCTTTGGAGGGACGACGGGCACGGCTTTGGCCTGGCATGTTTTGATCATGAAGGCCGTTCGCACCGATGACACGCTTACCGGGGCAGAATTTCTGCGTAGAGGAGCCTGCCGATCACTCAGAAACAACTCCAGCTCTGAGGGCAGCCTGCTGGCTACAGATTCAGAGGAGGTCAGTAGTCCTCTCTGACTTGAGGAGAACTCTGATGAATTACGGTTTTGCCGATTAGAAATGTCTCTGATGCATCGATTCCCAAGGTCCAAATTGAGTGAATATGGTCGGTGTTTAGAATAGCTGTTTTCTTCTCTTTTCTCCGCCTCATAAGACATCTGTCTGTACAACCTCTGAGATGACACTGTGTTCTTCTGTTTTGCTTTTCCTGTGTGAGGTTGTGCTGTGCTACTGCCGGTCGCACTGACCCCCGGTGGCAAACACGTCCATTTAGTCTCTGGTTTGCTACTGGTAGTCAGAGGAAAGCTGCCTGAGGGGTGCTCAGTGCTTTTAACAAGCGACTGTTTGATATTATCAACTGAAGCAGATGAAATGTGAGTTTCCCCCACAGAGCAGAAGGGCGATAGTCGGTTAAAGAACTCCTCCACGTCCGGTGAGTGGAGAGGACTGGTAACCCATAACTTAGTGGAGCTATAGTCCTCCCAAGACTCAACCAAGTCCAGCTCCTCGGAGTTTCTCCCACTTCTTTCGCCAAGGTTTGGCAGATCCAAAGTCTTACGTTTTTCCTCCAAACACACCGACAGCCTTTGAATAACTTCTGGAATCAAATCTTTCTTTGCTCCAACACAGGAGATTTTTTTGTCTCCTTGAGGAACTTCGCTTTCTTCTGATTTCTTGTTGGCATCATCTGCTCCTAAGAAGCCTACAACCGCTGGAGTATCCTCTATCGTCAAAGGATTTACAACTTTATCCGTTTCCTTTAAAATAAGTTGACCCTGTTTGGTGTCATCTTTGTGTAAGGGTGTGATTTTCAGATGCAGCTTCTTCTTTTTCTCATCCAAGATGTCAGCAGGAGGGGTGATTTCGGTGTTTTTGTGAAGTGAGATGTCTGACCCTGAGGGCTGTTTCTGTGCAGAGTCTCCAGTGGCGATTACACGGTCACTCAAAGAGGTATTTGAAGACTGCTCCCTGAATAACAGAGACGGAGAGCTGCGGCTTCGCTTTGACTTAACATCCATTGTTAACCTCGTGCCCTCAAACGTGCCCTTGGAGCCGAAAATGGGGTTAAAAGTCTCGTCCAGCAGGTCCATCTCAGGTTCAGTTATCTTCAGTTCCTGTTTGAGGTCAGTCCACGGCTGTTTCCCAGTAGAAGATCCCTTATCCTGAGATAGAAAACCAGACAGAAAGGATTAAAACAATGATTCTAGGGCTGGCACTAACTATTGTTTTTATCAGTTAGCTGTTTGTTTTATAAAATGTCAGAAAATGGTAAAAAAAAAAAATGAAATTCAGTGTTTTCACAAACTGTAAACGTGAAGAAACCAGAACATTCCAACGAAAGAAGCTTGAATAAGAGTATTTGGATTTTCTTTTCTTGAAAAAAACGACTTCAAAATAGTTGTTAATTAATATAGAGTTTACAACTAATTGAGTTAAAGGAGAGGTGTCATGGCCATTTCCACTGATCATAATTCCATTGTTGAGGTCTACTAAAATAGATTTATATTGTGCATTTTTCCAAACTCACATTGGTGTCTCATACAGCATCTCTGTAAACTACGTGTATTCACTGAATTTCACTCTCTGCCTTTAACGGCTCGTTGTAGCTCCAATAGCTCCAGCCCCCACCCTCCCTGTGAGCACAGTGTGCTCTGATTGGTCGGGACGTTGTGAATCGCGCTGAGCTCCGTGGAGGTGTTGTTTCCTTGTTTAGGATACATAGCGAAACACAGCCAAATTCATCCTGAGCACACACAAAGTCACAGCCGAAGTAAAAACAACAAGTGTGGCTTGATATTGAGTAAGAAAAAGGTTGATAAACGCTGTGAGAATGGGTCTGCAGAGAGAATTTTGCCGCGATCCCAACTGTCTGTTATCAGCCTGCAGCCAGAGAGGAGAAATCAGCTGAGCTGCCTGCTCCCTGCACACAGATGTGTGTGTGAGGAAGTCCGTGGATTGGTCAATTTGGACCAATCAGCGGGGGCTTAACGTAACGGCTCCGCGGACGTAACGTAACGGTTCTTCGGGATTGGTCCATTTCGTTCCGGGTACCGCTTGACATCATGCCGTACCCGGAACGAAATGGAAGACTCAAATGGCCAGTGACGTATCTCCAACGAGGTGTTTTGGGGAGGTATTTTCTGTGTTAGAGTTTTACTCGCTACAGGGTGTACTTTGAGGGTTTTGACTCTGCACACCGTTTACATGCATAAAAACCTTCATAACACACAAGGGGACGGGTAATAACCGGAAAAGCATGACACCTCTCCTTTAATCTTTGCAGCTCTGAAACCAAATCCAAACCAAATAAATATAATATGCTAGTTTGAGCCAAAGTATGACTCTGGTATCCCTGTTAAACCTAACTGTAATTTGTTGATCAAATCCACTGAAGACTTTAGCCCTAATGCAAAAAGGTGTCTGCAATTCTGCGTAAGTTAAGCACAACTACCTTCAGGACTTACCAGTTGGATGGTTGTCTGCCGGTTGTCCTCTTTCCCAGGAGAGGGCGCTGCGTCCTTGCCGTCCCTTGCATTTGCCGGGGATGCTGGTTCAAGTTCAGAAGTATTCATCCCTCTTTGACCTTCTTTAACCACTTCTTTGCTTGCATCTGAATTTTTCAAAGAACACAACATTATTTACACATGTAGCATTTGATTTCAATGTCACATAACAAGCCTTTATGAAATGTGATAATGGAAGATGTCCTCACCCTTTGGAGGGACCCTGGATATCGGTTCCGCTTTCTTTTTCCGCTCCATTCCTTCCTGCTTCCTTGGTTCCAGTAGAGGGAACGTGTTGCTCTTTCCACTGTTGCTGCTCTGCTCTGAGCTCTCCTTGAAGGGTTTCAGAGTAGCTGCTTTGTCCTTGGCGTGGCCCCTGCACGGCGTGCTGTTGGAGCTGATAACAGCCGACACACGCAGAGGTACAGACACAGCAAAAGGCTCAGATATGTTGACGGCCCTGCGCTGATGCCTTGGAGAAGACTCCAGCGGGAAGAAGCTTCCTGGGAAGGAGGGCCGAGAGGAGCTGTTTTGGGAGGAGCCCGAGTACAACATCCGCCTGCTTTTCGGCGAGGTGGGCTTGTATCCACTGAGTTCATCACCTTTGTAAACCTTCAGTTGCTCTGGAAGTGTTTTTTGGGGGGGTGCAGAGGAACCTGTGGACCCTTTTTGGTAAATCTTTGAGCTCCAGCCGCCTGTTGCCCCGTCAGATGTTGTCTCTTTATACTCCCAGCTCTGGTCATGTTCGCTCAGGTCGTAGAGCAAGTCAGATCCAAGCGTTCTGGATTTCACATCTTGACCAAAAAGGCTGCCGGATCCACCAGCTGGGCTGTTGTGTCCTGTTCTGTCATCATCTGCATGGTAAAAATAACATGACATGTTACAATACAACATTAATGTTGCTGTGTTTCTATAAAGCACAGGGTGTTAGCCCCACCTGTTGGTAAGGAGCATAAGGACTCCATGCTCCTGGATGAACGAAGAGCTGCCTTTTCTGTAGGAGAAAATAATATGAATACACTCTGACTCAACATAAGGTTATGGAGGCTGTAAATCTGTTAAAAACCCTCCTCTGGGAGACCTTACCTGTCCCTTGTGCTCTTATGAACACGCTTCCATTCCGGCTCAGTTTTCCCCTTTCCACAGACCTTCCCAAGTTGAAGATGGACTTCCATTTCTTGGATTTCCCAGAAAACTTTCTCCTTTAAGACAAAGAGATTGTTAAGACATTCCACAGATTGTTCTGACCGTAATACATATGAAGTAATTACATCATCTCTCAATGGACTGAACATAAATCTGTCATACTTGCTGTCTGATATGTCTATGACGGTGTGGTAGAGCGTGGCAGTGCTGGTGTTAGGCAGGCTGTTTTCTCGCTGACGTTCTCTGTGCACCGGGTGGTTTGGACTCAAGGAGCGGGCCTGGGCTTCTTCCAGGCTCATCAGCTTCATCGGCCCACACTGGCCGCTGATTGGGAGCGTGGCGTAGTTCTCCTCACACTTCAAACTTGGTCCTGGAGAATCAGAATGAGAATACCTTTATTAGTCCCACAGAGGGGACATGTACATTGTTACAGCAGAAAAGAGCCAAAGACAGCTTTATGTTACCTAAGAAGCATGCATAAAAAATTATAATAAAAGTTACACAATTTACAAAATACACATCCTGTAACAGTTCTGAGGATATAGCAGCCAGGCATATTGCACAGTTATTAACGGCAAAATAAGTAGAATAAATCAGTCTTTTCATGGATGATCAGGACATTCCTAAGCCCTAGAAATATGGCATAAATGCATTTGTATTTTTGTTTGATTTGGTTGAATGTGATACCTTCTTTGGGTTTTATTTGGGCCGAACCGCTGAAGATCTCCTCTCTGTGGTTTAGAATAAACTCAACCACTGACTGTTGTATCCGCACCTCTTGGAAGGCCATGTCTCCATTAGTACCTGACGCCTCAATGTCTTTAGATCTGACAAAATAAGAGATCAAAACAAGAATGAATTAAAGTATGAATACCTTAACCTAAAGGAGCAAAACAATTATTTTCAAGATTTATTGATAAAGTTCTGCAGGCACGCTGAAACCCACCTTAATAGGTTTGGAGCCCACACCAGGGCCAGGTTACGGGTATGCATGTTTGTTGTCGTACTTAAGGTGGCAAGGTGGGCCAGGTGTTTAGTAAGGTACTCCAGAGTCCTGATGGGGATCACAAACACATTTATTACAGCATTATAATAATATTTATTACAAGCCAGTTGTAAAATATTCGTTATGGATGAGAGTTTAAAGAAGTTCACCTGAAGTGAGGTGTCGGCAGTTCTTTGATGACCCCCTGAATGTGTAAAAGTCTCTCATTGTCCCCCTGAACCAGGACTGTTTTCTGCATGTAGAACAGACAGAAAGAAACCACATACTGATGAACTGTGAGGTAAAGCTATCATGCATCCCAACCAACACAAATGCAAGCAAACCAATGTGTGGTTGAGGTGTTTGAACAGTAAAGTAAACATGAGGACGTCAACATTTGAAGTTGTTAAAATAGTCTCATGGCTGCATAAAGATGAATTCCACCATAATGTTTTTTTATCCATAATATACACTACATCAATCACATAATTTAATTGAACAGATTCTGCTCAATGCTCATGTTGTTAAGAAGTCCTTCCTTTCCAAGGAAAATTGGGTTTTGGTATGTTTTTATTTGACTTTTCCTGAAACGCTCTTGGAGTGTTCAGGCCAGCGCAGCACAAGATGTATGAATGCCAAGGTATGCTAATAGCCCGTCAAGGTACACAGAAATCTACACAGAGAGCATGAACCAGGCCTCACAGTTTGGTTTTCCTTCTCTCCTGCTCCACTCTGAAGTATTTTTCACATCTGCAGCTCATCCGGAAAATGCTTTGCTTTAGTTCTAAATGTAGAAATAGTTTCCCTGCTAAATGTGGCCATACAGTTTGATATCTAAATTCTGACCTGGTCTCCTTATACTCTTGATGTTAAGGTCTTTCTTGAATGCAAAGCTTAAATCCCCCTTTGATGAAACTGATAATAATTATGTTATTTGTGATCAGTTTGAGCAGGAACATCTTTTTATGATTATGGGCAGCATAACTGCTCCTTTTAATAGCTAGGAAGATTTAATTACAAAGATAATAAATGGTGTTTAATTAAGTAATACAATTTGTTATTTGCTTACAGTTCAGAAGACATCTGCTAATAGTACAGTGTTCTCCAGGGAAGAGATGAAAACAAGACCGAGAGATGAGCTCACACTCATGGGAAATGATAATAAATAAGATCTTCATAGCGCTAACTAAAAGATACTGAAGGACTTTGTGGAAAAAGATTGCCTAGGATATTGGGGTTGGCTTTCGATCTGTTACGAATGACTGTTTGTAAAACATACAACACACACACAAGATTCTTTGGGGCTGTATGTGTGAACTGAATGTACTTACAGTGAATTTGCTGTATAGCTCGTATGTGAGCAGAGGATTGGGTAGCTCCCTGAAGAACAGCTTACATAAGGAACCCACACAGTGGATGTCCTGGAGGTACACTTCCTCTGTGAGGTCAGGGCACGCCTCGCAGCAGAATTCCTGCCTGTACACACACACACACACACACACACACACGCACACGCACACGCACACGCACACGCACACGCACACGCACACGCACACGCACACGCACACACACACGCACACACACATACACACACACACACACACACACACACACACACACACACACACACACACACACACACACACACACACACACACACACACACACACACACACACACACACACACACACACTCGGAGTTAGCTGAATGCTTTGATTGTTAACACCCCTGCTAACTTTTGTTGCAGTACGTGTCTTGTTAGATTGAAGTGTATCCGGTCGACTTTAAAAGAAAACAAGCTATGAGAAATCAATAATAAATAAATGAAGGATTTTATGACTGTTCATTCAGCCTGCATGGATAAAAAGAAAGAGCTGGACTAACACTTATTTTATGGACTTGTTTAGGGTAATATTTAATTCATCTTAGAAGTATTTTGTACTGAATAATTGGAGCAAACTGAATGTATTCATCGGTAATTATAAGGAATGAAATGCTTAAAAAAAATAATATTTTCTATAAGGTGAGGTTCCCTCAAAAGCATCGCTGTACCTGAGGTGCTGGATATTTGAGGTGACCCCCGACAGTCTGTAGATCCCGTCCACAATCCCATGTTCCTCGATAAACTCTGCACATTTCTTCAGAACCTGAGGAACTAAAGTTGAGAAACTGTGTTAGTCATATACTTTTATACTGGGCTTGATGGTCCCATTAAAGCATAAAAGCAGGAGAGGGAACTGTGAATGTAATGTGTCAGCGGGAACAATGCACACAGGGCTGACTTCATGGTATAGTGTTTGTTCCACTATGTCTGTTTTCTATTCCTTAGAGCCGCTGATTGTAGGTGGACTTTGACAGGAAGTTAAAAATGGTTTGTTTGTTTCAGAGGAAGGTTGACACACCCAGTCCTTGTAGCTGGTATTACTTACGACATTTCCTCTAATAGAAAACGGCTTTTGAAATGTTATCACTGACCTACACAGCTTTCCAAACAACAGTACATCACTTTCTGTACACAAGTGTTTTTACCTGCCTTTTTAAAAAATAAAATGGGAACTGAGCTAACTGTGGTTTTACAGCTAAATCACATGCTCTGTTTCAGTCTGACCATAACTTCCCTTAAGCTAATACTGAAAATAGCAAATGGTTGCAAAAAAGTTGATAACGAAACTTAATGTGGTGTATTTTTGATATAGTTTTGATACATGCTTTGACACAAAAACATGTTTTTAAGATACAGTTATGTTGAGTGAGGGAACGGATTGGTACGACAGGAAATCACATATTGATTTATCCTTCCTTAAAATTAATGTTATTTAAGTAAAACTCTTTATTTTAAATAAAGAATAACTTTCAACTATGTCCAATTGCTTTTAATACAAAAACAGTCTAAATTCATTTAAAACAGTGCGTAATAAGTGGTAATGAAATATGTGTCAGTCGAGGTTTAAAAAACATTCTGCTTGATATTCACATGTGAAAAATCAATGTAAATTATGACATGTCTGTCTTTTACAGACATAAAAACAAAGTCATATGCTGCCTTGCATTTCTAAACCTGTAACATTATAACTACACTTTTGACTTCCACGTCTTTTGGCTTTGAGTATTAACAGATTTGGCTCCATAACAAATTCCATACATCCTCCATAAAATGAAATAAGAATTTTGGCAATGGTTGATCTCACAGTAATCATGGCAGACACCAGGAATCTGCCATTTACATTCTCATCTATTTGACTTAATTGGACTTCCAGTGACATGCCTGTGGTCAAATATAACTGTGGAGCCTTCATTTAGCGCCTCTCCGTCTCTGCTTTTAGTAAACTAAAAACAACTTTTTTAAGATACTTTATGAACACATGAAAGGAAATGTGTGACAAGGAAAATGTCATGGTACCATTTGATTCAGAGTGTTTGTTCCTACAGTAATGTTAAATGTTATTTTAAACAAAGAAACTGCAGCTGCTGCTCAGTGGTTGACTTTACACAAACTCTGAGCAGCGCTGCAGTGTTTGTTTTGGTCAGGGTTTATACAAATGTTATATGCAAACATTGTTTGTTGACTGAAACACTTTTAAAAGTTCAGGGCCAGATTATCAAACCCTGTCAAGAAGATTGTCCTGAAAAGATTAAGCTTGTATATTTCCTCCTAGATTACTCATGTATCTTTATATAGCCTATGGGCAACTGCTGATTTTGAGTTTTCTGAAAAAGCAGTTTTACAACCTCAGATATCCATGAGATTGTGTGTCTGTGTGGGACAGGAAGTGAGCGTCTTATAACCTTTATCACATCCACGCAGGACTCCATCGCTTGTTATTATATCAGATAACAATGTTAAATCTCTTGAAAGTAAAGGTTGAAGATATTCTCTCTTTAAAAGATTTCTCTCACAAATAACAATATGTTGTGAGTATATCAGCATGCAACTCATTATTAGTTGTGAAGTGGGGTTTAAGATTAAGGGGGACTTTCTGCGTAGCTGTAAATTGGATTCTAACACTTAACACATGTGGGCATCATGTACAATTTACCTTCTCACATATAATGTTAATACGGAAATAAAAAGAGGCTTGAAAGTCACTGTGCCCTGATTTAAAGTGTCTGTGTATAATTGAATATAAATGTTGAAACATTGGTCAAGACTACAAAGGAGTCCATTTAAAATGTAACGTCTACATTGTGTCTCTGTTACTTTGTCTGGAGCTCCCAGTAGTATTCATATCAGTGACAAAGTAATGCACTAACAATCTAAAAACACAATATGTCTGCTCCACATCCATGACCCAAACCTCCTCCCTCACTTCCTGCATGATGCTCCGCCTCACAGAGCGTCCACTGTAACAGGTCTTCCTTAAAGTTCACATACCTGCACGTGGGAATACTTCACCTTTCCAACAAATCAATGTGTGCCCAATAATAAAAATCACAGAAGACAGTTTTATCAACATATGATCAGAATAAATAAGAGGAATTATAGAAAATCATCCTGTCAAACAAACGTGGCCACATTTGAGTATTTTTATACATTTATTTTCTCGTCTGCTTTTGTCTCGACTCGTAATTTTCTCCCATCCATTGGCAGCAGCACCGCCAAGTCTTGTATCAAACCCAAAACTATCCATAGGAGCTAAAGTCACCGTAGGAAATTGATGCCAAAAAACTTCAGAGCCACACCCAAATTCACAAATGACCCTTTAATACAGCCAATGTGTTAATGAATGGCCTTACTACAGTAAATGTAAAACACATGTATACCTGATTTTCATTGATGTAGTCTTTGAACAAAGCCAGTATTTGTTATACAAAGACACTGTTTGAACTTTTCCGTCTTAAAGATGTATATGGATAAGGTTATAATAGGTATACTTATCTAGGAAATGACTAACAAACCTCCTTATTTAGTGTGATGCTGTACGTACAAGTAAAGTGATACATTAAATATATAATGTGTAGTTTGATGGTCGTCACTAAAAATTGAGTGTTGGATGTCAAAGAAAACAACATAAAAAAAAGTTTACCATCCTGCCCGGAGTTCTGGAGATGTTCTATCAGGTCACAGCCGAACACATTTTCACTTCCTTTCTTTTTGGACTTCTGCTTAGTCCCTTTATTCTTCATGTGGCTCCAGTTAGTAGTCCCGAGGTTTAAAACAAACAGATCCTTGGAGGAACGGCGATCGATCCATATGACCCCATAAGAGAGAGGTTGAGTTCTTAGGTCAAAAAAGCAGCCACAAATCTCAGCAATCGGCTCCCAAAACGCTGCATCCGCTCACATTCTGACTAACCACACTGTTGGAGGCTGAGAGCAGAAGTGACGTCACATTTTGAACTTTAAGTCCTTTTTAGTTTGGCATAACTTGGAGTGATGATCAAAGAAAAGGCATGGTGTGAGAGTAGCTTGGCTGGGACGTGGCAGTCCGCGGCTTTATCTGTGAAGGATTTGCAGAAACAGCATTAGAATCGGTTGGTTTCCTGTTGTTCTTTCACCCCCAGCCAGTCTCTCTCTGCTGCTTTTTCTATCTCCTCCTCCTTTCCTTCATTCCACACAGGCTCCCCTTTTCACTGGCTTCTCTGAGGAAGCATATGAAGAGAGGCAAATCCCCTCAGGAACATTACTTTTGATTTATAATCAGATTTTCTACCTGACATTTTTAAATATGAGATGTTTAGAGATGGACTCGTGGCAGTGGAGTGACAGGGATTTTAAAATCAATGTTGAGACCATGTGAAGGGGAGGGAAGTGAGGAGAACAGCTGACTTCTGTTTCTCTCCTGGTTTAGGAATTACTGACCTCTTTTATCCATTTTTTTTGTCACGTAGCCAAACTTGGTGCTAACGGGGAAGCGGCGCTCGGCCTTCCTGAATGCTCCCAATGTATACAATTTCCTGTGCAAAGAGCCCGGGCTCGAAAACAAAAACAGACGCGTTCTGAAGGAAGAGGGAAGTGGGAGGCGACTGCAGTGAGGGCCTGAAGGGTACAGATGGGAAATGGGGGGAGGGGGGGAGACTGCGAGTGGGGGGTGAGGAGATGGATGACACACATGGTTCTCGTTACTAGCTGCTATGCGTTTCATGTTTTTCAAACTGGAATGCAACCTAATCTCAGAGACATAATCAATGTATGAATTAAATGTATACACCGGTGTAAAACAAAGTCTGTTTGTGTGTAGTACTACAAGCGCCTTTGTTACTTCCTGTCTTGATTCAATGTAATCCAATTACACTCCCTAGATTATGAGAAATCCCCTGGTGGTGGTGATATAATGTTCATATTTGTGGACTTTCACATGGGAAATTACAGCTCCTGAAACCCAAATTACATAAATGGAGGTCTGAAATCTTACAGCTGTAAAATCCTGAACTTTCCCTGGGGAGATTCTTTTAATTTTTTGATTGCAGTACATTTATATTCCAAGTTGACCTGTGTTGGACCACTGTCAAGCCACCACTATGCAAGCGTCAAACATCAACATGTCAAACCAGCAATACATGTCAGCTGAAAAACTTATTTTGGTGATGACGTAACCATGACTTTTGTTTTGATATACAGACACCAGAAACCTCCGCTGACTCACTAAGATGTTGTAACACTTAACGCACTTGGCTACTCAGCTGCTGACATACACTTATTGATATACGGTAGTTACAAAAACTGTTATTAGCCTCATAACAATGCTCTCCTCTACTTTAGAGCTGCAACGATTAGATGACTAATTTCTCACAAATTTGATAATGTTTTCCGCCTCTCAAATATAGAGATTTCGTACTTTCTCTGTTCTGAACTAGCAACACAATTATGTAAAGACACACCTTGGACTTTGAGAAAAAAGGGATGAACATTTTTACCTTTTTTCTGACATTTTTAGACCAACTTTTACTGTGTTAACTGATACAGAAAATACTTGTTAGCTGCAGTTCTATGTCCTTTTAACTATATTTTTGGTCTCCACCAACACCTGAGGGTATTATTTAGCATTTTAGCTGCTAAATGCGCCACTATTGACCCTATTTCCCATGCAATATGCAAAAATGTGAACTCAACCAACGACAGGCAGAGTCTTGATTGTACATTTACTCAAAGAACAAAGGCATTACCTTTCTACATATTCTAGCTTTCCTTGGTGTTGCAAATAAATATATGCACATCCCACTGGTGAGTTGTTATACTCATACGCTCATACTATTTGTCCAATCAGGAACAATACAGTACTCATTATAGAATCCACTGGCATTTTAACATGTCTGAATGGGCTAGTTTGTAGGGTAGATCCCAGTGTTCTCGCTTGCAGAGTAGATATGTTTGTGCTAAAAGTGTTTTGTGAAAGTCACATGTGAACTAAATGACCAGGCTAGGCCTTCCACAAGACAAAGCTTTCTTTCTGCACCATAGGAAGAGGAGATGACATCATCCTGTCCATACAAAGCCCCAGACATCCCGCTCTTTCTTTGCACTGGTCAAAAAAACAAGAGAAAGAGGTCTATGCTGAGAAGACATGTCATTGTATCTGAAGTAAAGGGGTTATTCTTGTCCTTACTTTTAGTGTCCTTCATACTCTCAGAGGGATGCAATGTCTTCGATTGGTAGATGGAAATTATGCAATGACGGAAAATATTTCTTACATAAAATGTTTTCAAACATGTTATAAGTTTTTGTGAGTGAGTAGGGCAGTCTTATCAATATACGTTAACATGAGCCATGCATGAGCAGAATTCTATGGTTTAAAGAAAATGAATCAGTATTAATTGATGTGTATAATGCACATCTATGCTGTTCCATCACAGTTATAACGCCAGGTGCAAAATATTTTCATTACGCTTTCGTTTCATTTTAACTTGGTTGCACAAAAACCTGTAAAATGTTAATTGTATACACATAAACTAAGTTTACAACACTGCTGTTTTGGTGTTATGTTCATGGCTTTTCATGACTTCCCTTTCTCCTTTTTAGTAAAAAAAAACTAAACGAAAAAAACTTGTAAATGTCTTTTAATTTGAAGGAAGGAAACTCATGTTCAAGCCTCCACTGGCCAGCCTGAATACAACTGAACTAGTATGCGAGGAAATATGGAGAAAACTCAATAGTAAAAGGGATCCTTCCCTCAGCTGTGCAGTTCGTGTATGGCGCTGGAAAATTATTGTAATGGACGCCTTTGTCTAATTCATGGAGGGAATAAGTGGATTTAAAGGGAATGTTGGCAGCCAACTTTGTAGCGTTCAACCTAATCTTCTTAAACTGGCTACATATACACATGTGCATTTACATTCTATCCTATTCAACCTATGTGAAGTAGTCTTGTGGGTTTCTTATTGAGGTAAAAACAGTTTAATCTGGAGTGAAATTAACCCTAAGAATCTACTTTTGAGAAAATTAAGGGGAAAATAATTTAGACTAAATAGACCACCTAGAACACATTTCTGACAAGTAACCCCCCCTGGTGTCAAATATCTGAAATGTGTCACATTGGGCTTTAATGGTAAAATAACTCTTCTTTATAACTTAATTAATGAGGATGATTTTTTGGTTTAAATTAGTTTGAACATTCTTTGAATTGAAGAATAAAGAATATATTAACTAAATATCATTGAACCAGCAAAATTAACTGAGCAGATCATAATCATATTCGAATTGTGCATATATGTCACTCCGGGTTTACTGTGAAAGTTTAAGGTTAATGTCCCGATGTGACATCAGTGTCACAGCGATATTTATCTCATTTGTTTCATATCAATTTGATCAAGAAATGTTTCCACAACAGGTTAAATGTAATAAAGGACATGTTATGTAAGTGTAGCAGGAACACTGGGTTCAGGTAACTGTCCCACACTCATCTCTACGCCCTGAACTCACCATCACCTAAAGTAGGTCAACTCCTCCCCTAATTAACTCAGGGGTATTTAAGGCACCTGTGGCATCATGGCAGCCTTTGTTTCGTTTGCTGTCTGCCTGTTGCCACATGGCCACCTTAAGGGTAGGTAAATTGTCAGATACTGGATGTCATGTTTGATCAACAGCTTAATATTACTCATGTGCATCTTATATTAGCACTGAACTATTCATTTGTATTAGCCTACTGTCAGCTTGTATCCTGGTCCACCTGGTGTTCCTTTGGCCAAATGTGATGCCTGAAGTCCTGTTAACCTGGAGGGATGTGTGTTGGTCCTTAGTACTTTAGTATTAATCATACTGAGTAGTGGTAAGTTTACAATTACCTAAGTTAAAAGATTTAAATGTGTACTTTTGTATTGTAATCTAATGTACAATGTGTTCTTCCTACTAGGTGGTATCAGCTGCTGTGTTGCTATAGTTAGGTTTTGCTTGAATTAGGTTTTTGTTGCAATTTTTAGTTTTGCTGTCTTATATTTATGATTTTAGTGTATTTTACTGTTTGCTCATTTGGACCAACTGGATTATTGTTTCTTCTGCTTTATACTAATTTGTTGTTTCTTTGCCCCTTGTAGTGGAGTTGGAGCCAGCTAGTGGTGGAGGCACACAGTCTGATTCCCTTCATGGCTTGTAGTGGTAGGAGCACTGGGACACAGTTTGTAGTGAGTTTTGATTTGCAGTGAGTTTTGGTTTGCAGTGAGCACCGGTGGTGGGTAAGTGGGACACAGCCCTGTTAGACTGCCTCCCCCTGGCTGGCATCTGCCCACTCCCCTTTTCCCCTCATTGATTTGAGTCATTTTCTATATAAAGTGTTTTTTATCAAGAATAAACAAATACATGTGATTGACATTTTGAAATAAACTGTTAAACTGTTTCATTATAATTGAACCACGTCTCTGTCATGTGCCAGTCACAAACTTGTAGAGCCTTATTAGTTCTGAGGTGTAAATTAAATATCTCCTAGGGTGAAACTCCCCAGGTGGCGTTGTCAGGCATTTTGGTATTTGGGTGGCTCTGCCTTTAAAAATGACCACATAAGCATTTTCATTCTTAAATGGCTTGAATTTGACCTTTTAGCAACAAAAGAAGCGCTTTTGAAATGTAGCTAGTTCGGTCACATGTGTTAGTCTGGCACATGGACATCTTGGACATGTTGTTATGGGAACACAAAATCAAATGACCTGGCCCAGGACCCACCAGACTGTTCAGGGGGTGTCACTTTGGTACTTCATGAGATAAAATAAAGGCTAAAGCCTTAAGTTAAGGCATTAACAGCAGCGCACATTTCCGTGGCAAGAGAACTCACTCCAATTTTGCTCTTGAGGACCTCCACTGGTCAGGTCCATGTACTGCAGGCTGTTACATGTAATACAGTGTACAACATTTGGTGTTCTATGGGAACATGAAAAGGGGTTTCATAGGAGATTGGTTTGATCCTATAATCGTCGATAGGAGGGAATATATACACTGATTTAAACCAATTATATTTTCTTGCCTTTTTAAAAACGAAAAAACAAGACAATTGATAAGAAAAATACTATTTATTAAAGAGAAAAGAAAATAATCCTATTAAAAGTCAAATGCAAAAATTCTCTCTCCCAACACAGACATCCCAAACCAACATACAAACATTTGAAATGAATCGACCAAAATCCTATTGAGATTAACAATATTTGATCATATAAAGGTTTTAACCTTCATAAAAAAAACAACGCAAAACATTCATTCATGTTTGAAATGCGAACAGAGCAGACAGTCGTCTAATAACAACATGACTCTAATTCATGAGCTTCAAAATGGCTACAACATATGTCCAGTTTATCAGGAATGTGAACTTAGGAATCAAAGTTATTATGAAGTTGTAACAGTTCTGAAAAAATAAATAGGAGTGGTTCGAGTGTCATATTGCTCAGTCTTACAGGACGTGGTTTTGATGGGCGGATAAATAAAGAGAAAACATGTTAAAGTTGTCACGTACCAGCAGCTACACTACCTTCAGAATATCATTAATGTATTTGATATGAGATCATAAGTAAGCTAGACTGGATTTTTTTCACATATCGATTACAAGTATTGATTGGACAAAAAATACTATAATCATTTTAACATGTCAAGGTCATAAATAAGAATCAACCACCATTTGATTTCTGCATAAAAGTCAAGCATGTAAGGCCTTACTGAATATATATATTTGAAGAATGTGCATTCAAATAAATCATATCTGAACGTTAGGGCTCAAAACAATGCTTTTCAAGATAACATTTTGATCATCAAAAGAGGGGTTGGAGTTATTAGGTTCTGGAAATAAATCCAGTTGGCACACGGCATCCCAAGCCTTAGTGTACGGCCTAAAATATGAACAAGAATGTAATTGTATTTTTGACATTTAGAGTGCCTTCAAAATTCTATTCACTCATTTAAGCTTCTCATAGCTGACCAATATCAATATGAATGAGTCATTTCCAAAATAATGTATTATAATTGAATATGATTTGGTATTATCAGCCCTCTGTTGTTATTGCTATTCAGTGGTTCTGAGTTTTCCCTTTACTGCACACAAGATGATGTTTTCCTTATATACCCTAAGTAATTTAATCACTCACTTTATGAAACAGAGCCGTAATATTAACAGCAAACATTAGATAATGAAAACCTCATATTTAGCAATATAAGGATTACTAGGATTTGTTTTAATATGGTCCCATCGGTTGGACCCCACAGATGCATTCACAAAAACAATGATCTAACACACAAGTAGTGTTTTATAATCAATGATTTGAGTATATATTTAGATAAATTCCTTATTTAAATTAGAGATTATTTTTGTTGATCAGGGTGTAAAAAAAGCAACCAAATAGAGCTACAAAATGAATCAGTCTGTGCCTCCCATAGTCCTGAGACAGGGTGTCATTGGGCAACATTAGTGACTCCTCCTGTATCTGTCGGGGCTTCAGAAAAAGGCCAAACGGAATGAAGCACACCAAATGCACATAGTTCATTTGTTTTCAGTTACCAAACATCTGCATGTTTTATGCCGTACTTTTTGTCATGTAGGCAACTGCATATGCATAATTGAATGGCAGCTAGAGGGCAGCCACATCTTGGCCACTTTTTTTAAGCATGCTGGTAACAATATTCAAACACATAATGCAGGATGAAATGTAAACTTATCAAAACAATGTGTATTTTGTGTGCTAAATGTGGAGTCTTGTACACACATAGTAGCCTTTCTGCACTGAGCGGCCTAAACATACTACATAAAATATATATTTGAATATATTTTTTTGGTCACAGCGCGGCATCCTGTTTGAAATCTCAACTCAGTGGCTTACCGATGTCCACAGTAACATTCACATATAGAGGGAGCCTCTCCAAGGACATTGTCTTATATGTGCAGCTGTTAAGTCCGTCCTTTCTCCAAACCAGCGGCGTACGTCCTAACAATCTCATTCTAGGGAGATGAATGAAAATAAATATTACAGATGCAGCATCAGATACAAACATTTCAACAAGTAAAACACATTATCTGCATTGACTTACCTGTCTTTGTTTATTTCGTTGCCACTGTCCCGTTTGTGAAACACCATGGTGTAGCGAGCTATATCAGCGGGGGGGCGCACAATCTTCATTTTCTGCAGCTCCACCCTGCACCAGAGGACAGATCAGTGTCAATTATTCAATGTTGGAAAAATAAATGAAATACCGTTTCACTTGTTTCCGTCTCACCTGACGCGGAGGTCATCATCTTCTCCGCCCCAGCCCCAGTAATTGTTTGAGAATCCATTCACTTGGAAAAACTGCTCTTTGTTCATAGCTGTGACTCCTCCAAAGTAGCCTTTGTAACGCAGCCTAGGAGTGGAAGAATAAGCAGGACAAATGAAAGTTCTTTGTTTTAAGATTATATCAGAACTTTTATGATTAGGTCAGGTTAAGGACAATGCCATTCGCTATTATTGTGTTGTGTTTTCACAAGGGAAATATACAGTTGAACTGCGCTGACTCATGAATTACAGTAATTTGCTCCCAATGGTGCACTTACTTGTATCCTGTGGCGTTCCGGCCCACCACCAAGTGTTTGGGCTGCTTGTCACAGACGTATAAATTGTGATCGTTTTCAGGAACCAGGTCCACGTCATGGAAGATGAAGCAGTCCCAACTGTAGTCCTTCAGCGCCTCCAAATACCCGACATTGAGTAACTTGGCACGATTAAAAGTTACATCTCCAGCCTTTACAAGAAGACAGAAGTATATCAATCACAATCTGCTGCTGTCCTTTTAGAAACCATCGTTAGTTGAAAGTTGAATATTAGTGTATAGTTGAAATTGAAACGTTTCATAATTTCTACAGAACAGCCACAGCTTAGAAAATATTGAATACTAGTTGTAGGCCAGTTAATGGATAACTTGTATAGTTGTAGTGGCGTCATTACATTCAGGCTGTTATTGAAAGAAATAGACGGCCTGGCTGGTGAAATTGAAGGAATTTGATTAAGTAAACACCATAAAATGCCTAAGTAGTGCACCAGATGACCATATAACCAAAACATATAGACTTTCATACATTTAATTATGAAAATTGTCTATAAGGAATACATATGGGGCTGTAAATTAAAATGTAATAGTGCCTAAACTAGATAGCTGTGGGCGACTGGCTGCGAGGGAGTGCGGTCGTCTTTCAACCAGAAGGTTGTGGGTTCGATCCCAGCCCATGCAGTCAACACTGCTCTGTATGAATGTTAGGTCCTAGAGTAAGGTACACTGCTCTGTATGAATGTTAGGTCCTAGAGTAAGGTACACTGCTCTGTATGAATGTTAGTTCCTAGAGTAAGGTACACTGCTCTGTATGAATGTTAGTTTCTAGAGTAAGGTACACTGCTCTGTATGAATGTTAGTTCCTAGAGTAAGGTACACTGCTCTGTATGAATGTTAGTTCCTAGAGTAAGGTACACTGCTCTGTATGAATGTTAGGTCCTAGAGTAAGGTACACTGCTCTGTAGGAATGTTAGTTCCTAGAGTAAGGTACACTGCTCTGTATGAATGTTAGTTCCTAGAGTAAGGGACACTGCTCTGTATGAATGTTAGTTTCTAGAGTAAGGGACACTGCTCTGTATGAATGTTAGTTCCTAGAGTAAGGGACACTGCTCTGTATGAATGTTAGTTTCTAGAGTAAGGGACACTGCTCTGTATGAATGGGTGAATGACATATAGTATGTAAAGCGCTTTGAGGGGTCTTAAAGACTGGATAAAGCGCTATATAAGTACAGTCCATAGCTAATAATTTAAGCACTGTTGATTTGCATGTCTCTAACACAGGGGTGTCCAAACTTTTTTCACCGAGGGCCACATACAGAAAAATATACGAAGGGCTGGGCCACTCACTAGAGGTGAGGTATACTGCCTCATAAGTTAAGTTATACGTTAGTAAAATCAATCAAATGTAGGTAAATGATGCTTGTGAGCAGCTCATCCCTTAATAAAACAGAAGCCTCAGAAATAGGAAGGGTGTATTTCAAGCTTGTTATGTAAATAGGTCATTGGGCTTTTTTCTTATCAACTAAGATATGTTAGAAAATGTTTCCAACTTTAATTGACTGAATTTATTTGAAAAGTGTTCTTATTAACACATGAATACTACTGTGCAATACATTTTTACATTTATAGTTAAGAAGTACAATATAAGACAAGCACAAGTTTCATTTGTGCATATTCCATTATACTTTTTGAATTTGCTGAGGGCCGATTCAAAATGGGGGCCGTAGTTTGGACACCCCTGCTCTAACACATTTGTATAATCTCCTGCCTCAAGTTACTGAAAATGATACTTCCTTCTTGAAGTACTTAGAACATAATTTGGCTGCAGAGGATTTGCCTTTGGCAGGTGAAATGTTTATCCTCACTAGTTTCTTTGTTTCCACAGCCGCGCTTTTGTCTGCAAATGTTGCAAGATGTATGTCTCCCAAAGCAATACACTGGGAAAAAAACTGCTGGAAATGGATTTCAATGATTTAGAGAAAAAAATTGAACGTGCCTTTTGTTTTATGTTCACCTCGTGGCATTTTGTCTTTTGAATAAATATTATAAAATCTATTCAAACATCTGCATTTAAATTAAGAAGAAAGTCACACCTAATATTTATCTCTGAAGTAGATCTATTATTGGTGCAGTCGCATCACATTTGTTCATACTCACATTTGATTTACTTATGACTTGCACTACATAATTGGAAGTCACAAAAACAGTGTTCAAAGAATGAGCTGATTTAAATGAAGCCAATTCTAACTTTTTTGGTTGAGAAATTCAGAAGAAATCAAGCGAAAGTAATAAGGTGACAGACGCTTGAATACTTCAACAAAATAATGATATTAATACTTCAACAGTGAACCCTAAAAAAATAGTTATTTTATAAAGACACATGTTGGTATGTGGCGTGTGTATACCTGCTGGATGATGTAAATGGCGTAGTGTAGCTGCTGCCTCTGCAGAAAGGGGTGCAGGTGGTGCAGGAGGTAGAGGAGGTGTTTCTCTCTGCCGCGATGAGGGATGAGGATCGCCACGCTCTGCCTCGCTGTACAGTCCGAGGGCTCGAACTCGCCTTCAATCACTGCTTTGTTATCGCTCTCCACGTCCTTCAGTTTCAGAGAGGATTCAAAGGACAGCTTCAAAGCTCCCTCTGTGGAAGTTAGCAAATTCAAACAGAAATCTGAGTGATCATTCTGTTACACGTGACTGCTTTTAATGCTTCCTTTTTGAACCAATACAGGACAGAAAACATGTAGCAAATGCAATTCACAAGTGTTTCTGTATAATACCGTTGATAAAAAGTGGGGGAGGAAAAGTTTATAAAAAGACATTTAAAAAGAAAAGGGGGATTAAACACTCAGTTGTAGTCAACAGTTTCCTAATGTCATGTTTGGTAAAGGTGGAGACCTTAAAAATGTTATATCATACAGAATGTGCAATATATACCTGGCTGCTAAATCCTCAGAACTGTTACAGGGTGTGTATTTTTGTAAAATGTGTAACTTTTTTAAATTATTTTGTAAAATGTGTGCCTTTTAAAAAAATTATAATTTCTTTTTTATGCATGCTTAGGTAACATTAAGCTGTCTTTGTCTCTTTTCAGCTGTAACAATGGACACTTCCCCTCTGTGGCACTAATAAAGGTATTCTGATTCTGAACAAACAATTTCTACTTATCAAGCGGACACCACTGACAGGTAGATTAAGATTACTAATGAGAAACCAAGATGAATAAATAATACCAAGTAAGCTACCGTATTTAACCTGCACTTACGTAGCAGTGGAGACTCCTGAGGGCATTCTTCTTTTGGTGCTGGAGTGATCAAGCGATTGGGGGTTGCTGTCAAAGCATTCAGTTTCTCCCTCAGACTGTCTCCTTTGACAAGAGCTTGGGGTGTGGCAAATGAAACCGGAGCATCCTTTATGGTTTCACCGGACAAATTTGCAATCCATGCCAGCACGGACAGCGAGATGAGGAAGAGCAAAAGATATTTCCCCCTCCTAAAAACCTTGCACACAGGCGAACAGAAGCCCATAGCTGTGTGACTGATCTGACGTGAGGACAGTGAAAGAGGCAACTGTAGCTGCTGTTAGATTTAGTTCAAGATATTTCCTCTGCGCAGGACATTTCACCAAACAGAGTTTCCCTATCCAGTCATCCCATGGCAATGAAACATTCAGAACTATACAGTGAATCAACTTTATGATCACTGTGGAGTAAGCAACACTTATTGATGAAGATCCATCGCTGATCCCTCAAACTCCACTTTCAGGGTGTGAGGCCAAGAACTTGACAACTGTAGAAAGATATAGAGAGGAAATGTGTTAAGAATAATACTCTGATACACTTATACAAAACTACAGGCAGATTTCCAGTTTAAAAGAAAGATCTACTACTTTTAATAATACAACAAAACACCTGGGTAGATGTTAATCCTAGAAAATAAACTGATATACCAGATTATTATTATTCTCCTTACTCTTTCAGGGCTATTTATTATGTTACACACTTCCTGAATGGTAATTGTAGACCCTGTAACTTAACACATGTGTTCTCCTTGATACAGTTCAGTACCACATCACAGAGCCACACCTTTCTCCTCATCTGTCCCAAATAATCTATCAAATATATAACTATTGTAATTATTAATAATCTGTTCATTGACTGCTCGATGAATCATTGATTAAAATAAAACATTTCCTGCACAATTGTGTCCTCCTAAAATAACTTGTATTATCAAACGTGGCACTATAAAAGCTACCGTTATAAAACCACATTTAAATTGCTGAACATTGATTCAACTCTAAAACTAATACAAATGTTATACAAGATTATTTCAAGGCAACGCCCCCCAGGTTATTAAACAGAACAGTGATTATGTACACAAAAACAAGTATATCATTTTAGTGTCCATTCTGAATTATGGCCTGTAGAAAAACGTATTAAAGAGTAAAGCTTAGATATTTAGTAAATTGTGTTTTTTACCCTTATTTGGGGGATGGACAGTAACAAGCTAACGTCGGCTAGCTCTGAGAAACACACCACATTAACTATATCTGCTCATATATCATGTACAACTGCATGACACTAGCGTTGCCTTTTACATTACTGACAGCTCCCATTTCTCCTGATTACGGTCCATGTTTTAATAACATTAAAAGCTCAAATGTGTTGAGAGAACAGGATCTCCAGCTGTGTCCAGATGAGCTGTGTTCAGGGTTAGCATAGCTAGCTGACGAATGCAGATGGATGTAGTTACTGTGAAGTGCTGTAAAAGTTCAACATTAGCATTAAGCTAACAGGAGCCCGAACACAGTATGGCAATATTTCAGTGAAACACAAGAAAGAAAGCTGCTGTTTGTATTGATAGATCATTATAAATTAGAAGTAAGTAGTTTGGTTCGCGTATCTTACCTTTTTAGACTCAAGTAGACGTTGTGGTTATATCGTCCCGGGAGACATCAAACAGTGTGTCATGGCAACGTAGATAAACCCTACTTCTGCTGGGTGTCTTTCATAATAAAAGCTTAAGCACTGAACAGAGAAAGACACATTAGCACATAAAGTTTATAAGAAGAAAAAAACGTTTCCTGTAAAAGCTATTTATTACCATTAAAACGCACATTTTAATAAGAAACCCAGTGATAAAGGTTGCTCTTTTTTGCAAAGACACAGCATCACAGCAGACCTTGGATTGCTTTTATTTTGAAGGCCACATAAACAAACAGGAAGTCTTCGCTGTTTTTTGGGTGGCTTGATTAAGCACAAAGCATGATTCATGTTTTGTGTAATTATTTCCGTTGTGTGGTTTTCAAAACAATAGTTGCCCTCATTAAAAATGTTAGGTAATATTCTTCAAATATTTGCAGAAAATGAATGTTATTTTATGTATACAATAGTTTTCCATTCAATTATTGGTGTTAGCATCTTACATTTTGATATATTTGTATAGTTACTTGATGGTTACTAAAATGTTTATTACACTTTCTGCAACACTGATTGGGCCACGTGTATCTGAGTCTAAATTATATTAATTTATTACCATATGTTGGACTAAAATCTGTGGTTCTCTTTAAAATGTAACAGAAATAGATTGTGACAGCACTGCCTAATAGAAAACATTGATAACTAAAGGGTGAAGGGGTTTCAATTGAATTGTGTAATATTTTACATGTCCAGTTGTACGAGTGTGGTCATTTTGCCTAATGTCTGTCTCATCACACCCTGCAGATCAAACAGACAACATGCTGCTCTCTCTGCTGGGCTACTCCGGCTCTGAGGATAAAGGTCTCGTCCTCCTGCCGACAGAGGAGGCTGTGCAGCTGCTCCTCAGCCAGCTCCAGGTCAGTCAGGATACTCAATGTCTCAACATGTGATCCTCCCATATGTGGGAGGTCTTGCACTCCTTAAAGGCCTTTTTACCTACTTTTTCTTGTGAGTATTTATAGAGCATCCCTTTGTATTTTGTGATTTGAATGTTGGACTTTCTGCCTCACTTGCATTTGATGGTTTTTGCCCCTCAAAAAAAACATAGAAATTGCAACTTGAGTGCATTTCTCAAGGTGTCGTTAGCAAGCTTCAAATACCTTTTTAAACCTTGGCCATCCTTAGTCACATTCATACATGTAACCGTAACTGTTCCAAGAAGGCCTTAAGGAATAGTTTTCTTGGACCAACACTATTTATCAGCATTTCTCCTCTCAACTACCATGACAGGAACCTTCAGTGAAACTCCTGTGTTTAAAATTAGAATAAGTATTATCATTCAAATATAGTGAGCACATACAGAATGGCCCCTTTCTCTTTGTTATAATAAATATGTATACCATTTTATTGTCTTATTATTACTCAATTGGCCATGAGTCTTTATAATTAGGACATAGTTACAGTTTAGATCCTTCACTCTTGATAATGAGACAGGGTGGATCAGTAAAAACAGTTCCTTCTCCTCCCTCCTCTCTATACTGTACCTCCTCCATGCTGTAAGGACATAACTGTGCAGTGTAGGCCTATTGCGATATTGACATTAACATGTGAGATAGACCAGCTCTGTTTGCAGTTGTCAGTGACTTGTGAGAAGCAGACTGCAAGCAAAGAAAGGTTTTCTACACCAAAAAGTAGACCTCCTTCAGCACGTTTCCTATTTCTTTTCGTAAAAACTGGCTGTGAAATCCACAGTTATTTACAGTGTTTGTGCACAGTAAATTACTGTATACCATTTTAGAGTATAATACCGTGTTTCCAACCAAAAATTACAGCAACTCTGGAGTTACTGTAGAAATAGCAGTAGTAACGTCCCAACTGTATAAAATCACCGTAACCAACAAAGTACTGTATAAAATCACAGTAACCAACAATGTACTGTAGAAGATCACAGTAACCAACAATGTACTGTAGAAGATCACAGTAACCAACAATGTACTGTAGAAGATCACAGTAACCAACAATGTACTGTAGAAGATCACAGTAACCAACAATGCACTGTAGATAATCACAGTAACCAACAATGCACTGTAGATAATTACAGTAACCAACAATGTGCTGTGGATATTCACAGTAACCAACAATGCACTGTAGTGTAGATAATTACAGTAACCAACAATGTGCTGTGGATATTCACAGTAACCAACAATGTACTGTAGATATTCACAGTAACCAACAATGCACTGTAGATAATCACAGTAACCAACAATGCACTGTAGTGTAGATAATTACAGTAACCAACAATGTGCTGTGGATATTCACAGTAACCAACAATGCACTGTAGATAATCACAGTAACCAACAATGCACTGTAGTGTAGATAATTACAGTAACCAACAATGTGCTGTGGATATTCACAGTAACCAACAATGCACTGTAGATAATCACAGTAACCAACAACTGTGAAATCCACAGTTATTTACAGTGTTTGTGCACAGTAAATTACTGTATACCATTTTAGAGTATAATACCGTGTTTCCAACCAAAAATTACAGCAACTCTGGAGTTACTGTAGAAATAGCAGTAGTAACGTCCCAACTGTATAAAATCACAGTAACCAACAAAGTACTGTATGAAATCACAGTAACCAACAATGTACTGTAGAAGATCACAGTAACCAACAATGTACTGTAGAAGATCACAGTAACCAACAATGTACTGTAGAAGATCACAGTAACCAACAATGCACTGTAGATAATTACAGTAACCAACAATGTGCTGTGGATATTCACAGTAACCAACAATGTGCTGTGGATATTCACAGTAACCAACAATGCACTGTAGATAATCACAGTAACCAACAATGCACTGTAGTGTAGATAATTACAGTAACCAACAATGTGCTGTGGATATTCACAGTAACCAACAATGCACTGTAGATAATTACAGTAACCAACAATGTGCTGTGGATATTCACAGTAACCAACAATGTACTGTAGATATTCACAGTAACCAACAATGCACTGTAGATAATCACAGTAACCAACAATGCACTGTAGATAATTACAGTAACCAACAATGTGCTGTGGATATTCACAGTAACCAACAATGTACTGTAGATATTCACAGTAACCAACAATGCACTGTAGATAATTACAGTAACCAACAATGTGCTGTGGATATTCACAGTAACCAACAATGCACTGTAGATAATCACAGTAACCAACAATGCACTGTAGATATTCACAGTAACCAACAATGTACTGTAGAAGATCACAGTAACCAACAATGCACTGTAGATAATCACAGTAACCAACAATGCACTGTAGATAATTACAGTAACCAACAATGTGCTGTGGATAATTACAGAACCAACAATGCACTGTAGATATTCACAGTAACCAACAATGTACTGTAGATATTCACAGTAACCAACAATGTACTGTAGAAGATCACAGTAACCAACAATGCACTGTAGATAATCACAGTAACCAACAATGCACTGTAGATAATTACAGTAACCAACAATGCACTGTAGATATTCACAGTAACCAACAATGTACTGTGGATATTCACAGTAACCAACAATGTACTGTAGAAGATCACAGTAACCAACAATGCACTGTAGATAATCACAGTAACCAACAATGCACTGTAGATAATTACAGTAACCAACAATGTGCTGTGGATAATTACAGAACCAACAATGCACTGTAGATATTCACAGTAACCAACAATGTACTGTAGATATTCACAGTAACCAACAATGTACTGTAGAAGATCACAGTAACCAACAATGCACTGTAGATAATCACAGTAACCAACAATGCACTGTAGATAATTACAGAACCAACAATGCACTGTAGATATTCACAGTAACCAACAATGTACTGTAGATATTCACAGTAACCAACAATGCACTGTAGATAATCACAGTAACCAACAATGCACTGTAGTGTAGATAATTACAGTAACCAACAATGTGCTGTGGATATTCACAGTAACCAACAATGCACTGTAGATAATCACAGTAACCAACAATGTACTGTAGATAATTACAGTAACCATCAATGTGCTGTAGAAGATCACAGTAACCAACAATGTACTGTAGATAATTACAGTAACCAACAATGTGCTGTGGATAATTACAGAACCAACAATGTACTGTAGATAATCACAGTAACCAACAATGCACTGTAGATAATCACAGTAACCAACAATGTACTGTAGATAATTACAGTAACCAACAATGTGCTGTGGATAATTACAGAACCAACAATGTACTGTAGATAATTACAGTAACCAACAATGCACTGTAGATATTCACAGTAACCAACCATGTACTGTAGATAATTACAGTAACCAACAATGTACTGTAGATAATTACAGTAACCAACAATGTACTGTAGATATTCACAGTAACCAACAATGCACTGTAGATAATCACAGTAACCAACAATGTACTGTAGATATTCACAGTAACCAACAATGTACTGTAGATATTCACAGTAACCAACAATGCACTGTAGATATTCACAGTAACCAACCATGTACTGTAGATAATTACAGTAACCAACAATGCACTGTAGATATTCACAGTAACCAACCATGTACTGTAGATAATTACAGTAACCATCAATGTGCTGTGGATATTCACAGTAACCAACAATGCACTGTAGATAATCACAGTAACCAACAATGCACTGTAGATAATCACAGTAACCATCAATGTGCTGTGGATATTCACAGTAACCAACAAAGTACTGTAGATAATTACAGTAACCATCAATGTACTGTAGAAGATCACAGTAACCAACAATGCACTGTAGATATTCACAGTAACCAACCATGTACTGTAGATAATCACAGTAACCATCAATGTGCTGTGGATATTCACAGTAACCAACCATGTACTGTAGAACATCACAGTAACCAACAATGTACTTTAGAACAGGGGTTCCCAACCTTTATTGTGCCAAGGACCGGCAGATACATTAAAAAAAAATCGCGGACCGGTTGTCAATTTTAACTGATTTTAATATTTACTCACCACC